AAGTCGCGAACTTGTTTTTCACACAGGGAAATTTCATAAGAAAATCTCAGTATGTATAAAATAAATTTGGTTTGTCAACTGCATGAAACTTGCTTGTCAACCAAAGATGCAAGGTTCAAACTGTTCGCGCGCGTTTCCCTTCCTGAATATTATTTGTTATATTAAAATGTGCTAATTTTGAAGTAAAAGTTGTTCGGAGTTTTTGCATCTGTATATTAACAAGAAATCATATATTAGCTTGAACGTAAACGATCGCTTCGCCGGTTGTTGCTAGCTTCATTTTTACAATCTGACCAATCAGAAATTACATAATAAAAATAGTTCAGGAAGTAAATGAGAATGCGCAAGAGCTAAAATCGATTTTTGAATGATTATCATAGGTCAAGGAAGTGTGGTCTCTTACTTCAAACTTTCTTGTTTTAGCTCATTCTATCCATGTTTATGTAATTTATACATGCTTTTAAAAATACCAGACTAAGAATGGGTATAATCAGAACAAACTAATAAATCAAAAGGGAAGCTCCATGTAGCGTGGGAGAAAGTTAAATTGTTTTGAATAACTCAAGAGGGTAATCAAAACTCTAGATATGGTCCAGAGAACGTTTTGACTTTTTTGGTTTTTGTCCTGCCGATGAGGGGGGAAGGGCTGAGGACTCAGACAGCCCAACGGCTTGTTGTGAAATTGGGTTGTCACTGCCGCCAGTCAAGAACATAAAAGGTACCATCTAATTACTTTTGATTGACGGCGAACTACTGAGTTCGCAGAACTTACAGAAAACCGCAGTAAAGGCTTGTCAAGTTATTAACTCTTTTTGTATCCCAATAAATACTCTATATTTTTGGTAGTGATATCTAAGCTCTAACGATAGAGAAGTATAAACGAATTGTATAGCTATTAATAAAAATACCCACCGCAAGCATAGATAACATTTAGGTACTTGTCCACGTCAGGGCAGTCATTACCAAAGTTTTCAGCATTAGCCACAAATTTACACTCTGGCTTATAATCGCACATCTGCTTTACTATGTCTTTTGTATGTAATATGTAACATGATCTGTCAGCATTYGCACCACTAGCACATATGACATCCATAGCACGGCCAAATGACGCTGCTTGGATCTCCAGGAGACTGGGACTAGGACAACTTAGGCTAATGGAGTCATTTTGGCAAACGTACTTTGAATTGACGTTATCCAGCTGAGGAAAGTCTAAAAGAATATGTGTTAGTATTATTCACTAAAATAGCTTAGTTATCTATTGCGAAGAGGCTCGCAAAACGCAAAATAAACCTTGGCATTGTGCACCAGGTTTTTATCTAGTGCATATCACTTTCTGTTTTACTTTCTTAAAAATGTCCTATAGCAAGAGTGAAACTATGGGCTTCAACGTAGAWGAATCCATTAGGAAAATAAATCCTAATAACCGTGAATAACCGTGATCATGTAATAAATGTCAGGAATTTCCGCGTAGCGCGGAATGGTTTCCTGAGGAAAATTGTGTCTGGACGGTATAYTTGAAAGAATGTCCCTCACACAAGGATATAAAGAAGGGACTTATTCTACCAACAACAAGTTGAAGGCCAGCTAAACTGGCGTTTCAAATATCAAACGCCGGAACAGCTTCGTAAGATAACTAGCAGCCCGTTCAAAACGTTGGCCATATACAATTTCTTAATTATATGATCATGTTTGCAGAATTGAAAATGACGCACTGCAGAAAGAAGTGTGTTAGCCAACAGACACATCTAATAATGATGTTTTGGGAGTGGACCAACAACAAGCCTGTGAATGTGATCATGATGACTAGAGCAAAAATAACCTTGAGTGCTTATTGGAACATCGTTTTTACGTGATGACGATGAATTGTATGTAGTGTTTAATGTAATATATTAAAAGGATTTCTTGCTTTTGAACGGCGCATCTTTTGCAGTGCATATCAAACCGCAGTTTCCAACTACACATTAGAAACACTTTTGTCTATAATCACTTATCTCTAATTGTGAAACGCACAATTGTCCAATCATGAGTGATAATGACTTTTGTCGCAAAAAGCCGAACCCTAAACAACTTCAACCCCAACATAAATCATTTCTAATTGCTGCTAATTCGTTCCACCCGAAGTATGAAATAAAAAAACCTGCTTTCAGACTAGGAAATGAATCGAGAGATAGTGATTGCTTTAGTTATTTTTTTAAGAATAACCACGTGACAGCAGCATGTTCAAGACTGAGGCCTTTTGCGCAGAAATGTTGGCAGCTTCAGAAAAAGAAATTTGCATAGCAAATAAGACATAAACTTAGTCTAGTTTTTAAAGATTCCTTTAATTTTTGGCTCGCTTTTYTTGCCTTAGTGCACAGTTCCAAAAGGGGGCATTTTTATTAACTCTGCCTAAAACTCGTTTTACCAGATTCCCGGCCAAAGTATCCGGTATCGAAAGACCAAAGCTAGCTTGGAGGCTCAAACAAAGCTTTTATGTCCCGCCTGAGATATTTATCTTCAAATTTTATCTGCATGTAATGAACGTATACAACGTTTCTAAAATATTCTTTAGATTATTTGCATGGTTAATATGTTTTACGTGCTGAAATAAGTTTAGAAATTATTTCTGTTAGATATCTTTGCAGGTCAGATGTAAACTGTAGATAAAGATCAAAAAGTGAAATGATTAAGGAAAACACAGGATGAAAAGTCTTTTTGAAATAAGGCCTTTTTTGTTGTTCGCTTTTCTTTCATTTTCGATTTAACCGTTTAGGTAGTTCCAGTTTCTTTTTATCTTTTTTATTTTATCTTAAGATCTTCCATTAATTCCTWCAAATAATGCAAAAGCGAACATTGCTTTGCCTTATAAATTACTGTGTTTTCGTACACCCATATGACTCTCCACCACCTCTTGTCATTGATAATTAGTATTACACATATTTTATCATGACATGAAACACTTGAATTTGTTTCTTTTATCATGGGGTTGTTCCAGGCTTTGATAAGATAGAAAGTTTTATTTCTCCTAGCCACCATGTTTGACCGGTGATTCAGCACGGAACTGATTTGATTTTGGCAACACACTGAACTTAATTGTGAATTGGTTGAAGTTTAAAGCAGTCCCTGTAGTGTTTATAATCGAATGTTATTACAGCCATATTATGGTTACTTGACCAGAAATGTTTCACATTGTTTCGCTTTCGAGGTGAATTCCGTGCTTTCCTTTAAGTTAAATACTTTAAAATGTCACTATAGATTTTGGCTTTTAATCCACATTTACGATTTCATGTTTTGTATGTAATTCCCATAGAACTTATGGGCTTTGTCCTTKGGTTTTCTCAACAAAAAAACAGGTGGATTAGTGAAATTTATCGCACTAATTTTAGAATCCCATAAAGGCTTTATGTCTTTAAAAATCTAACTTTAAACCTTCGATTTTGAAAATTCCATGCAACAAATAGTTTTTAAAAAGTAGATTTGTTAGGAACTGTAGCCGGTTTTAACCGGCACTAATCTGACCGAATGTTTTATTGCTGTTATGTATGAAACCTCGAAAYCTGTACACCGTTATTGACAAAACCCCTAAAAACATTGTAACAAACAACAACAACCAAATAACAATCATAGAAATAAATTCAATTTGAGATATTTATTTTTACCAAACGATCGTATCGCCAAAAAATATCATAAATGCAGCAAGTTTTTTCTCTACGGGTCAAGTTTTACAAAATCGAAAACTGAGAGTTTGAGTTTATTGTTACGGTTTCAAGGTGTAAGTAATCCTAGCATTTTTGATATTGTGTGTTTTATTTGCACTTATCACGAGCTTTTCAAAATAAGCTTCTTGTATAGCCAAAGGGTTTTACTTTAATCAGTTTAGCGTTCGGGTTTACTTAAGAAACCAAAATATTTGCACCTTCAAGGCTCTAGAAGTACCTTGAAGATAAAGAGCGCAGGATTTTTAATCTCTTGCGGAAAAAAAAACCCAAACAGCTGCGATTCCAGTTAAAGGCAGCAAAGGTTTCCCCTTTTCCCCAAYTTTTACACAATTATTTAAGTGTCCCTTTTTATTGATCACACCATTATCATGGCTTGCTGGAATTAGAATATAGAACTTACCTGTTACTGCTGAGCAATCAAAGTTATTCACTTTCATGAAACTGACTACCACAATCAGCCAAACATATCTGCAAATCAGTTCCATGTTCGTTTTCCGATGTAAAATCGACAAGTTTGAAGTTTTTTCCTTGATTGTTCTTAGATCCAAAAGAAGTCAGCTCGCACTGCACTGTACAGCATAGTATTATATTGTTTACTGAAAAACTCTATTATCAAACCTCGGCATAAGCCTACCTTTGTACACTCTAATTGGATTTTTCTATGTAAATGGAAGGGAAGTTAATAATAGATGATCAAAGACTAGGCTTACTTTCTTGTTATCTCTCTCTTCCTGTAAGTACTGACAGTAAACCGTGTACTCATAGTGATAGCCGGCCGCCACATGACTGTATTTCACTTGCCGAAACCTTCAAATCTGAACGACAATAAATTCACAACACTAACTCTGATAAATCTCTAATAAGTTTTTTCGTACTATTAATATGCAATATTAAAAATTCGTTTATTTTCTTATCAAAAATTCGGTTTTAAATTGATTTAAAGTATTGATCTGACAGCATTTTTTAGCCAATTGAAACGAAAATCGAAAAGCGTATGAATGTCAAGAGTTCAGTTGTCACTTTATTCAAATCGATTTTCAAGCAGGTGTTCATTTTCCATCACGTTCAGTACGCATAAATATTTCCCCATAATTGTTTTCGATTAGTGGACAATATTTTTATAGCAAATAATTTTTTCTTGTGAATGGAAAGCTTTGTTGGTTGATGTTTCTGTTACCTCCAGCTGTGTGCGGAGTTCAAAGGCGTCGTACTTGATTGCATATTATTTCTGAGTAAACTACAATATAGCTCTTGCTTCAGAAACATCTTTTCAATTCTCGAAACTCGTTCTTCGTTGTAAAAAACAAAAAACAAAAAAAAAACAAACAAAAAACAGTAAACAAGCTTTACTAAGATCAATTCTATAAGTCAGGATACTCATTCTCTGAGTCTTTGATATTGATGGTCAGCATGAGATCGGCTATAAGCAATGACATCAAGATTTCTGGTTGTCACGCGCGTTTATACTATGTCGAAGAAAATATCTTTTTGCGAAGAGTTTTGGAAGAAAAAAATTTTCTTGGAAAAGCGATTGCGTTCATTTGATAAAGAACCAACAAGGGATAGGATACATGAGTTTATAGAAGCTTTTCTTGCACATAAAATATTGTAATGCAAAACTTGTAGTAGGTATGACCAAAATCTATACATTATCCAGATGAAGCGAGTAAAGTGAATTAGATATCTCCTGCGAAGGGACTCGAAAACAGGACGTAATTTGATCAGTCGTAGACGTGTTTCAAATRATCGTTCGTCATGTTCTGCATGATAAATAAAATACGATATATTATGATGCTGGCACCGTTAAGCAGCAGTGAAATCAGAAATACATGTTGCCATAAATAGAGACTATTGATCGAGAGGGAAATATCAGTGGACTTTTTCAAGAGGTAGGTGGTGGGGGAGAGGAAGAGGTTATGTTAACATTATTATTGCACCGAGTACGAGGTGAAAAAAGAAATATTCAAGATAAAAGATAAAACTTGAAAACTAATACTAGTCGAGAATGCAGGAATAAAACCAGCTTTTCAAGTGTTATATAAACATCCAAAGCGTGTTAAATTACGCTTTGAATAAATTTATAAAAAAATTAATATAGCTTTGATAACATTACAAATGCATATATAAAAAGAAAATACTTCTGGATTGATTTTTGTACGAAGATGCAAATTTAACCGAGCGCACCTGAAAAAGAAAACCTAATTAAAATGGTATTTCGACCAGCCAGAATGTATGCAAGTTATAATGCTTTATTTTAGTGCAGGGCTAGGTACAAATCATTGTTTTCAGCTGCATATCGTCACTGTACATGCGCAATAGGTGGTTAAACACACGTCGTTATATTGGATTTCAGTTACTGTTTTCTTTTTCAAAGTATACGTTATAACAACCAACATTTTTATAGCTTTGGTTAAAGTGACACATGCTTTGATTATAATTAACAAAGACTTTGTCAGAGTCGTAATAACATACATGAAAAAAATTACTCAATTCTGGTTGCCTTAGGGTTGTTCAAAAGTAATACAGTGCAAAATGTGTAATTCAGTTGCATCAGTTTCAACTCTTTGAAAAACACAYTCGTGCGAATTAATCCCAAATTTAACTTGAAACCGTATGATTACCTATACATAGCTTGCTTGATTTAAAATCTTGCTGTTTTTTTACTGCTTGATCATTTTCGCTCGTCAATCATTTTAAAATTAGGAAACTTTTTATGAAAATAACTTCCAAATAAAGATGGCTATAATAAAAGACAGAAAAGGTTTTGAAGAGGAGGCAGAATTTAAGTATACATCGTCCGATGACTCAGTAGTAGTATTACATTTAATAAGTGGTCTTGGTGTCGGCCATTTCTTACCATCCTCGTCAAGCTTATGTAAATCCATATACGGCTCAGCGGTTGGTTTAGTTGAAGTACCCGGTCGTGAGGTTCCCGTGTAGTATACGGGTTCGTTCGTTGATGGCTTCCTGGTTGATGGGATCGGTGGACGTTCTTAAAGAAAAGAAAAGGAATCATAAATAATAATAATAAAAAAAGGGATACGGTAAACCCTATTTGGATGTAACATAWAGATAATCTCTTTTTAACTAAGGTAGCTGTGCTTAAAAGAAATGTTATTATAAATGTTACCGTAATACTATATCCATYACGCTTCATCAAATTCACGCATCAAGTTTTACGCTTCTACAAACCCCTTCCGTCAGCGGGATTCCCTTTTAATCTTTAGTATTGAAAGTCATATAAGTCTATTTCTGGTTCAGTGTTATGAAATTGGTAGACTTTGTTGCTTGTTAATGCTTTCCCATTTCATATATTCATCGTCATGATCTTTACTTACGACATTTGTAGATAATGTTGAGGTATTTTGTGATGTTTGGGCACTTCTGACGATCGCCAAATGTATGGTCATTGGCGATAATGTTACAATGCATTTTACCATTACAGGCTTTTTTCAGATTATATAACTTCTCCTGTCAATGAAAAAAACATGCAAACAATTATTTATAGACACAAATGTCAAAATTGATAAAATCGATAAATTTAGATTGGATTTTCTGGAAATCCGTGTATCTCTTGAGCTGACAATAAGTATTTGCGGCAACCAAATTACAAACAAGGCCACGTCCACCACTACTAAAATAACAGGGTCAGAAAAACATGAACTTAGTTCTAGCTACTTTTTACAGAGCATGCACCAATTTTTTAACTATTATGGTATGTAACTACCTTTTTCTCATAAATCAGCAATGAAGGATAAGAAGCCGACTATATAAGTAAGTTTAGCAATTCAACTTCTCAACTACATATGTTTAAAATCACAAGAGTAATTATATATTGTGTGGGGTGTGACGTCGTATACRTGGTTTAAACCGGAACACATTGTCTTAAACTACCATAAAGACATGGTCAAAAAAATAAGCGATTACACAGGTGTTACGAAGTTCTTCAGTCCAATCCACCCTTTTTTAACTGGCAATCTTACATAATTGATGTTTTCTCATTAGCCTGGTTTTCTCTTGCGACGAAGTTGTAGTCACAGGTAGTTCACGGATGRATCGAACTGCTCGAGCTCCGATACTCACTCCTATTCCGTCGCACGTGAAAACCAGCTTATGAAAAGCTCATWTTAAAGCTCATTATATTGTCATCGCAAAAATATCTAATATTTCCATTTTTATTTTTAGACTTGTAAATTTGTAGAAGGATATGATATGTCATTAATAAACCATACAAACCTCTTTGTCAAAGCCAATCATTTCACAACSACCTTGAGACGCACCATTCAGGCAGATTCCTAATCCATGTTCAGGGTTTCGTCCATAGAAAAGAGAATGTATTTCAATAGTTGTGTTCAAAGGACAAACTAGATCTGCCACGTGGTCTTCGCACGCAAACTTTGATATCGGGGATGCCTTGCTATCCGCATCTCTGACTGAAACAAATAAAAATCTCATGACAAACATGATGATGTACTTGGTATATCGACAATATCATTTTAAAGAGAATCTTATCATTATTTATAAATTCTCCCRTGCAATGGCTAGAAATGACGAGGTAAAAACAAGGTATTTTGCGTGGAATTGCATTTTTTGAAGCTAAATCATTCACTGAAAAACGAGAGAACCTACATTACATTTTGCAAGTGATTTTCAATGAAAAGTTTAAAAACTTTTGACTTTTCTTTCACAACAAATACGACATAAACACGGAAGTTGCGTAAAAAGCTTACTTCGAAAATGAGAGTATAATATTGGGAAGTGACAAATACATGCATGAGGCTCGCRATGGTTGTTTGTCCTCTTGCAGCAATAAAAAATAAGTCTGTTTTCTCTCTTTCCGCTRTGGATTCAAGGAAAAGTTCATTCAAAAGCCCCTTAACCCAAAACTTGTAGCCCCACCCATAGGATAGTTGATATTGAGTCTATAGGRGAATGTTTAAAATAAAGCCTATAATGAAATAAAAACGTGCAAATATGTTGATAAAAAGACAAAACTGTCAAAACTGTCAGGATAATGATGATGTTTTCAGRGGGCAAAAGCTGAAAGTAAGTGTACTTACTGGTTTGTGAGGCAACTAGTACTATACAAGAGAAGAAAACAGCACAAGAAAAGACATCCGTACAATACATGCTGATGGAGTAGTATTCAAGCCTCCCAATTCCTCCGCTCACGCTTCTGTAACAGAAGTATCAGTCAGAAACAAGAAACACACCTTCTATACCTSATAACGTCTGATAGCGACTAGGTTGAGTTCAGTTATAATGCAAGTTGTCTTTCATAGGAGCTGTTTAAGTGTGTCAAAATAAAATAATGTGAATTATAGATATGTCGGATGTAATATTTTATTTCTTAATGACGTACAAAATTAATCTTTAATAGTAATGGTTTAGTCAATTGTCGTATCGACTTTAACCCTGAAGTACGRGATGAAAAGAATAGGAATTTTAACTTTTTCAAAGAATATTTTTGCATCATTATCATATAATATATATACAAGGCCACATATTGAACTACCCTCGCTAAAACTTTCAAATTAGCGGGCCAAATATTTAAACTTGGTTCATTCCAACGACGTCTCTAGAAACGTGTCTAGAGTAACCACTAATTATGTAATGCCTGTCATAGCAGTATAAGGATTGCAAAAACAATTTCGTATTACAATTGCTGTATATGCTAGGACAGACGGTTTGTTTTGGTTACTTGTAGATACTAAATAAGGTTTACTTTTCTTACATGTATTAAATTAATAATGATTAATTAAATTATAAAATGAATGAATTAAATTTACCTTCAGTAATGAATAAAACAGTCTATTTCATTGTACGGAGGGTAAATTTGATTAACTTATTAAGGAGAGTTAATCGCTAACGAAGCGACGCCGACGCTACTTGTCACTGATAGTACAGCGGTAAATGTTCATAGCTTGCGGCTTATTCAAAACAGAAAGGGGCGGGGAACATAAGAAGACGATGAYAATAGCAACCATGATGATGCTGATAATGTAATGATAATGGTGTATAAGCCCTAGTCTTATTTAGTGAGTACATTCAAAACTGTTATAATTGTCTCTGTTGGTTTATTTCGTAGGTCCCTGCAGGCACCAATTTTCAGAAAAAGTAACAAACTCTTTGCTGAAGTTCTCTCACAATCTTTGTCTGTCGCTTTTCAACTCCCCCCCCCCCTCCCCTCTTAATTTTTTAAAGCCACCCTCCTTTTGTGTTTTTTCTTCGAAGACCCACTAATTTTCCTCCAGCCCTCTCACCCTCCAAGGCGTAAATAATGAACAATCCCTAAGCAATCTATCATGTTTAAAGAAATGTAAGCTGATTATGTAGGTATATTTTCCGTTCAATGAATGCGTTACATCCCTGCTAATGAAATATAAAAAAGTCAGAAGAAAAGTCTAGCCTTAACGTGTAGGCCCCATCTTTATTTGTGGAGAAAACTGTAGTCATGACCCTGGCGGCGGAGAATGAACTCGAGCTTTAGTTCTCTGTGTGATCGGCGTTAAATAAATTACTTTTACTCAAATATACATTCAACACAACAATGCAGTATCTACATACCCTCAAACAAATGATTGTACAGCTTTTCCTCATCAGTACGCAAAATGAGACGTTAGTAGTGAGAATCTAAAGACGTGGTTGCCAATATAAACTCGTAGTTTTACCTAAACCGTTTTTTTAAATCTAATCTCATAGATTGAAATGGAATTCAAGTCATTTGTTTAGTGTTGTACTGAGATGAAGCCACTTCGCTTACAGTTTGTAAAATGYTATAAATAATTAAGTGTAATAAACGTATGAAAATACTTGAAGTTAATCTACTTAATAACCTGTGGAGAGATAAGAAATCAATAGTCTCAAATCATCCAATCAAATCATCAGGAAGGTTATTAACATAGGAAAAAATATAAAGTAAACCCTCTCAAGACTCCTGCACAGCGTCTCGTGTTTAACCGATAGTGTTGTGTTTTTTTTTTGAGTGCATATCAGGGTTCGCTGGTTTAATTTCTGGAATAGTTTGTTCTAGTAAAAGGATTTTAAATTTTGAAATGTATAYTAAAATTATATTGAAATATTTAGCAAAATATTCGTAGACTGAAAAACATTCAAAGATTAAGGTGGAGTTTGATTGTTAATATACCTGACCGTTGAGTGTCGGGGTTTTTGCAAACGAAAACAGCCGTGAGAACGGCATTTTTTTACACAGAATATCTTTTTTAAGATAATCAGCCCCTAGAAGGCATGACACTCTGCAAGAAGTGGATCGACTTTGGTTAAGAAGAATATTACAACACTATGAATGGTCTTATTTCTTTAACATGACCATTGTAATTTAAGCATACGATGGACTTAATAAAAGAAAAGAACACATTTGTACACAATCGAGGCTAAGACTGACCAARGGCGAATTCAAAATGGGAGTGTCCGCCATTCTTGTCACGAGCAACTTATTTCCCGCTCTGAGTACATCTAGATTTAGCGAGTGTTCCCTGGTCATCTTTCAACCAATGAGAGTGTTCGTTATMTCGGAACATTTCGTAGCTCTAMACCAATGTATAGTGAAACATTTATTGTATTGAAGTTAGCCTACGGCTTCGGCCAATAACACTTGCCTCGACATCATTAATTCCGGATATCATCAAAACCTCTACTTTATATTTAGTAAGAAAACATTCAGCGCATATACAAACACTCGTTTTAAATATGAGTTGTTATGGATTTCTCAGTCGTTTTCACGTAGTACAAGACCACTCAAAATCCAGTAGGGGGAATAAGAGAAAAATATCAAATGCCCTTGGCAGGATTCGAACCCACGTCTTCGGTATTCTAATCCCATGTGTTAACACCGAACGCATAATTTATTACTTCTATACTATGTCTATTCTTTGCGTACATATTTACGGTGTTCAACTTATCTAAAGAGAAAAAATATCGCTCTGGGATCCTCACGAATACCCTACATTTCATTCTAGTCCGATGATGATATTTTGATATTTTTCTCTTATTCTCTCTACTTCATTATATACACACCGAACGCACAATTTATTACTACTATACTATGTCTATTCTTTGCGTACATATTTACGGTGTTTAACTTATCTATAGAGAAAAAATATCGCTCTGTGATCCTCCCGAATACCCTACATTTCATATTCTGGCTGTGTTACCAGCGTGGTTGGTCCTTGTAGTGTAGTGGTTAACACATCGGACTAGAATACCGAAGACGTGGGTTCGAATCCTGCCAAGGGCATTTGATATTTTTCTCTTATTCTCTCTACTTCATTATATACACACCGAACGCATAATTTATTACTACTACCACTSAAAATCCAGATCAGTAATGCCTGAGGTATACTACAATCCATTCGGACAAAAAAATAAAAATAAATAAATTATCGTCAGCTGCTTTACACTAATATACATTACTTTCAGTATTCTCCAAATAAGATTTGACGGATCTCTCACGATTCCTTGGAAACGTAGTATTTCTTTCTGGCGAACGAAGCACGTTTAAAAAAGTGAAAAGAAATTGCATAATATTCCAGAAACATGGTAGTCTTTTAGTGAATAAACGTGCGTCGCAGCTAGCCGTCGTAAGCCAGCATTAGTTAAAGAAACGATCTTGTCTGCAAACGATTTATCATTATCATTATCGTTATCGTTATCGTTGTCATTATATTTTCATTATCACTATCATTATTATTATCGTTATCACTATCGTTATCGTTATCACTATCGTTATCGTTATCACTATCGTTATCGTTATCATTTACCTCTATATTTAAAATTTTTGTTTTTGTTTCTTTTTTTCTTTTTTGTGGTGATGACCAAAACATATGATTTTGCAATTATCAAAAAGGTCATTGAAAAAAAAAGTCGTTAAAAAATCGTTGTCTCGTGATCTCATGAAGTTCACGTCCAATTTAGAAAGAGCTTTGTACTTTTTCAGATAAAGATCRTTATCTGTTAATGCTGTATGCTGGCAAAAAATGTAGAGATCCTACCTAAAGCAAAAAATAAGAGAAAAAACTTGGGCTTTCACGACACTGAGTCAAGCACYATGTGGGAGATTAGTACTTGGATRAGTGACYTGAAATTCAAAATCACACAGCTCTTTTTTTGAAATGTTTTGAATTTTTTAATAAGGTGGCTGACAACTTTGGTAATAATAAACAGAAAATTAAAAATTGAAGAAAAATGGGGTGTCCCGAGCTTGTTTTTGAGATATTTTCACTCCGGAA